TCTCTCTCTCTCTCTCTCTCTCTCTCTCTCTCTCTCTCTCTCTCTCTTCATGTTGGATCTGGATTATCTTCAGAGCCAAAAATACATCTCACATTATGGCTTGTGAAATTGCCTGGTCATATAAACTGTAACTCATAAGGCTGATTTACAGTGGATATTTTTATGTTGGGTGGAATGAGATCACATGGCTTCAGAGCTCTTTTGTGTGTGTGTGTGTGTGTGTGTGTGTGTGTGTGTGTGTGTGTGAGTGAGAGGATGCTCTTGGTGGCAAAGGGTCCAACTATTGTGCCGGCTTTTCTTTAGTTGCTGTAGCTGTAAATGGCACATTTTAAATCATGACAGTTTATGAATGCAACTTGTATGTGTTTTGTCCAGTTCCAGACTGAACAATCATGATCTCACATGTGCAGAGGACCGGTAGCAGTAGTTAATCATTCTCTCAGAAGGTGGCATTCGAAGAGAGGGGTGGGGGCGAAGGGTTGTCTGTGTGTAAAGAATTTGTCGTTATTGATTAATCTGCAGATTATGTTCTTAATTTATTTATTAAATGTCAGAAAATAGTGAAAAAGGGGTCATCCCAAAACTGTAGTCAACATATTTAATTAGCTTGTTTTGTCAGACCCAGAGTCTAACACTCCAAATATTCAGTTTGTTATCATAAAAGACCAAGAAAATAAGCAAATATTCACATTTGAGAACCTGCAAATAACTAACTACTACAAACTACTTGAAATAAAAAAACAAAACAAGTAATTGATAATGAAAATGCTCTGGCTATCAACAGCTGGCTGCTCTAAAGTCTTGCTACTGTGATGCAGTTCAGTTACGTACATTGTAACCCTGTTAACATTTTGATGTTTGTCTGCGGTGGGATGATAAACTGACTAATAATGATTATGTCTGCTGTCATTAAGATTGGATTTATTCACCATACAGTAGAAGTATACCACACCCTCCTGTCGATCGGCCCATAGCATCCAAAAGATTTAAAAGTAATCCGTTACTGAACCTGACTCCAAGTCACGGGTCTCCAGAGTTGATGCACATGCCAGAGCTGGAGATACTAACGGTGTAGGAGAATTTCAGTTTCTCCAAAATATTCAAGATGGTTGAAAGTCACCATGTGCAAGTGATTTAGCACCACATGCAACGCAGAGAATAGGGACTGTTTTCTAGTACATGCTGCTCAGACGGTCCTGGCCTGAAGTGGCAGTTATAGCTCCTTTCTTCCTCCTTAGTCTAAAATGTTTTATTGCCTGAGTATTTTATGAGTCAGCTGCTGTGGGTCATATATCCGTTGTGTACATACTGTAAGTAAGCTCAGATTAAAGGATATGTTCACGTATTTTCAAGTCTGTTCTATAACAAAACTCACATGCTTATACTGTATGCGCACGAGGGAATGCAAGTGAAAATGTCGACATATCCTTTCTTTATTTTTGTATCCTGTTAAAAGACAAACATGATCAGCCCTGCCTCTAGACATGTTGTATTCATACATTTTGAAAGTCACCATGGTTGCGCAGGTCCATCCTCTCCCTCAATCAAACAGACCTCATATGCTGAGACAGATCAGGACAGATGGTCAGAGTACTGCTGTTTTTTATATTTATTACATCGCTTACAGCGGTGACAGAAAGGGGCTGGATAGTTTGGTGTGTGTGTGTGTGTGTGTGTGGGGGGTTCGTTACAGACTGATTGGCGGTGTGGGCTACGTTCCCCCGCTGTCACTTGGGCCCTTGCAACACAAGCTCAGTGTGCAGGGGCATCTGTGACCGAGTGCCAGGGAAGGCCGTCTGCCTGTCACAGCCAGACAGCACTCGATCAGACGATCTGCAAGGGTAAATAAAACACTGACTCACACACACACACACACACACACACTTGGACTGATATGATAAGAGACAAAGGGAACACGCTTGCACGTATTTAGATTAACAGAACATGCACACACACTGTCTCCAGAAACAAAGTTTGAGGTTAGATAACACGGATCCTAAACCGTATTATTCACACCTACACCAAGGTCTGGCCTGAGGACACATCTCGGATAAAATAAGTAACGAAACGTGGGTGTGAAAGAGCAAAAGCTGGAGGTATAATTGCCAAGTCATTAAGACCAACCATTAAGCCATTTAATCATGCGGAAAAGGAGGAGGAATTATCCTCTTGGCAACGCTAAGAGCAACTTCTGAGTTGCGCTGACTTTTACCAACCATACTAATGATTACAGTCTGGGAGGAATGATGGTAATCAGAGGCTTCTACGAGATGGTTGCACCATGGAAGTCACTATGTGAAGTTCGAAGCTCTACCACCCCTTTTCACCCAAAATTGCTAGTCTCTCCTGGATTCGTCTATATACCATTGGACAGGATAATTACCACCATGGCATAGTGTAAAAAAGGCTGCACCTTGTAGCATCCAACGTTCCTGTAGGAGCCGGAGGTCGCACATTAACAGGATGTATGACGTGGTTTCCATCACAGTGCTAACCGGCCGTACTGTCAGGAAAATCCCTTTCTACATTGACCCCTGACACTAACATTAAGAACACCCTTTTCTTTCTCACTCAAATGCTGCCATTTTCCACGATTCAACACCTTCTGTTTTATTTATTTCTTTCTGTCTTTTGTCTGGATACTGGATGCATTTACCCTTTAAGGCTTCTGAAAATCCTGTTCACACCAAGGCCACAAAACCTGTGACAAAGTAGACAAGATTTGTTTTGATTTGTTTTAACCTTCTGAGACCAGCAGGATCGCCGGTGATCCCGGCCAACATTACTGTATTTAAGAGGCTGTAGCAATCTCAGACGACCTAATGAATCCATAATAACCATGTCGTAGCTTTTCAGGAAGTGAGAAAAAACCATCGGCAGATAGTTTAAATGGATCTTGTGTAATAATTACACAACAAGTGGAAACCTCTTAAAGAGATCTCGTCTGTCGGGGTCATATTGATCACTATAAGCATAACAAAAACAAATTATTGTCTTTATTTCTTATGCAGAGAGATTCCCATCTAATATTCAGAAGTATATTGATTGCATATTGAATATACATTAATGAAATGGAGAGCTTCGCTGTTTACTGAATTGTATTGACTGACATTGGGACTACTTGCTATCACTATAAGCAAATTATTTAAACAGCGTTTGTGTAGGAAGGATTCTGTCCCAAGCTTTTTGATACATATAAGCGGTTTCCACTGTGTTAGTATTTTGAGCTTAATTCCTGCAACCTTGTGCCAAAGCTTTATGTAGACCAGCCAACAATAAAGGGGAAACAAAGGCCATAGCGGTATAATTCAGACTCTGTTCAGTGCTGAAGGCCATTGTAAGTTCTCACATGCTACTCAGTGGAATTTGACCATGCCGGTCATGTGTTGTTCAGTCTCCCCTTTACAGCTCGTGCTGAAGACTACCTTAATGACTGGAGCCTGTGTTGTCTTTTATTTTAGTAGTTGGGAGGCCATGCGGGGAAGTTTCACAGCCGGTTGCCTCCTAACAACAGACGCAGACTGCTGCTGTTGCTACTGCCGTGTCTGGCTTGGACAGTTTCTATGGTAACCCACCCACAGGATAGCGATATGTACGACCGGAGAGGAAACTGGGGTTGCCACGGCTATGGATAATGATGAGACTCTTATTTCTGTTTCTCCCACACAAACAGTGTTCATACAGTGGCTGTAGCTAAACAGATTCTTTTTCATCATGTAGTTCTGTAACTGAAGATTTCGCGTGTTGATACCTAACCGCACTTGAGGTCATTTGTGTGGTAGATTGAAGTGAATTGTCCACGTTTTAAAGCCTTTGGAATTTCACAATAGTTAACTGTCTTTCTTTACGGACAGATTCAGATGTATACTTCTCTTTTAGTTTGTAGGCATGTTGAGCGTTTGAGGCAACAGCGCACGTCTTTGTTCTCTCTGCAGTCTCATGCTCCTCTGTGGCATTCAGTGAGTAAATAGTATATTGTTCACACAGCTCATTCCA